GAGTTTAATATTTTTGAAATTATTTTCTCTAGAAAAAAGAAGAGTTAGAGGGGGATCTGATTAAGGTGTTTTAGATTGTAAAGGGAATTGACAGTGTTGATGCATCATCTATTTTCATGCTTAATGGCAAGAATAGTAGGACTAGGGGACACAAATATAAATTTTGGCAAGGTAAAAAGCATCTTCAGCTAAAAAATGTTATTTTTCTACAGGGTGGTTAGCCTTTGGAATGGGTTGCCTTCAGATGTTTTGGAGACAGCAAATTTATTTGAGTTTAAGAGAAAGCTTGATAACTATGGGAATGATAAGGGCTGGCTTTAAAATTTTTCTTTTAAATTTATTTATTTAATAGTTTTAGTTTAGTTGAGAGGATGGGACAGCCATGATGGACCAGTAGGTCCCTTGTTCTCCCTAAACATTGTTATTTTGTAATCAGGTTTTGGTCTATTGGATCAAGTACTAGTGTTTTAAAAAACTAATTCTTCTCTTTGCTTTTTTTGAACCTTTAACTTACATGGAAATGCAATAGTGTTTAGTTGCAATAGGAATATTTGTGCTTTCAAATAACTAAAAGAAATATTAAATCAAAACAATTAAATGTCATTATGTAGAGTAAATATTCCAGATTTTTCATGTGAAGTATTAAATGCCTAATAACTAAAATTTCTACATGAGACTGATATATTCTAAAAATTCTTTTCTCATCTTTGCATTTGCTTCTTTAGATGTGGATGAATGTGAGCAGCATCCATGTGGAAACTATTCAGAATGTGTCAATCTTCCTGGTAGCTACAAATGTGAATGCCTTGAAGGGTATGATGGCAATGCCAACCTTGTCTGTAAAAGAAGTAAGCCTATTATGAGATTACTATCATGCAAAGTACAGTTTTTAGCTTTACAAGACTAGGTTGTTTTTCTGTGATACACATATTAAATTTCTTCTTTAGATAAATGTTAACATGTTTGAATCAGGACAAATTGAAGTTGAAATTGAAATTGAACCTGATGAATGTTGTAATTTCTGTGTAACTTGAGAACATACATATAAACTCAAGTAGTTAGAGTTTAAAGATAATTATGGTTATGATGACTGAACCATTTTATCTAGTGACTGTTGGCTTACATCTACAAATGTTGAAAAGAATTACTGTTATAAATGTATCAGTACCAACTTGTATAGTGTTGAGCTTGTTCTTCTGATCTCATTTTAATTTCCTAATTCTGATAAAATTTGTGGTTATAATATGATACTGAAAGTTAATGAGGATACATTAACTTTTTGGTGATTGTTTAACATCAGATTATTAGTGGTTTTCTTTTATAAACACCTTATTTGCATATGAGATGTTACAAGCCCTGCAAAAAAAAGGGTGGTTAGAAAAATATTATTTTTATGAAAATTAATTAGCTCAGGTTATGTTACTACACATCCTTTTGTAATGTAAGTAAGCTAAAATTCCATTAATTTTACAAACAGACCATTTATAAGTAACACTTGAGAATATTAGTAAAAGTTTGTTGTCATATTCAAATGCAGAGGAATATTTATAGAAAAGAACACACAGTCGTATAAAAGCAAAAGAAATCATAGTAAAGGGTGATGTTCTGGTGTTCATACATTATATTACCCTTCAAATATACCAGAAAAATAATGGCGTGAATCAGCATTTATCAAGCATGGATGATTTCTTATGTACAATTAAATAATGTGTAAGACACAGGGTGTAAATTAAAGCTTAAGCACTTGTGATTATGTGCATCAAATATATAATCCCATTTCAGCCAGTTTTTGTACTTGGTACTTGGGACCCCTCTCAGTATTATATATGTTGTATAATTATTGGAGAACTTATTCCTATTTGAAAAATATAAGAGAAAATGAATTTATACCTCACATTTTATCATTTTTCTATGTATTAAAATGAATTAGAGAGTTCATTTTTATTCTTATGGTAATAGTTATTCAATTGAATTCATTAAATATTTGCATCAGTTGAATATTATTTATAGTTATGCAAAATAATGTATATACACATACACACTGACTCATATACATACTGTTGTTTTTAGAATCAAATTTGAAGATTATCAGCTGAAAGTATTAGTTGTAAATTCTTTATCCAACACTTACTTTTAAGTAAATTAATTTGAGAAGTGCTTTTTTATAATAATGGTTTGTTTTTAATGATTAGCTTGCTGTTAATTCATTGCTAGTGTAAAGTATGTTATCATACATGTGATTTGTATGTGTAGTTCAAGTAAATGTGCCATGCCAGGAAAACCATGAGTGTGTTGAAAATGCACATTGTGTGAATAGAAGTTGCAGATGCACAGAAGGTTACCAAGCTCTTGAAATAGATTGTGTTGGTAAGTTAAATGATTACATAAAGGTTTTGTGGAATTCCACAGAAATGGATAACATTCATAATATGTATATACTTAGTTTAGTTAAAATATTTGAATAAATCTCGTGAATTCATTGCTACCTGACATTACATATACGTATTATGTAAAGTAATGAAACATTTTGCAAGATTTAAGTATGATGTACAGAAATAAGGTATATATATATATGAATACACAAAACCATAAAGAAACTCCTTCATAGTAGCCAGTAACTACTGAGTCAATATTACAAGCTTATGGTTATTAGCCACTATAATACTATATAGCACTATTCAGTTTAAATGCTTTTATTAAATACTGAATTCATGCAACTGACTGGAATTCAACATTTAGTTGTAGATAAAGGTTATTCTTTGAGAGATTTGGCTACTTATGTAGTGGTTTTGTGTATTCATCTCTTCCTTGTTTCTGTACATTTTGGCATTGCCATCCCTACATCATACTTAATTTTTGCACAATTTCTTTTTATTACTTGTTTTCCCTCTTTTTTTCTTTAAACAATTTCGTTGAAGTAGGTTGATAAGAGAACATTTGTTTTATTTTTATAATTCAATGGTAATATATATTGTTAATATCATATCAGGTTTGTCAGTTTCTTCATTGCACTTGTAGAATGACTTCAAGTATTGATATTATACCATACAATTGGCTACAATAGATTATTAATCATCACTGGTCATAATCTTGACTTCTTGGGACTTAATGCTCATCTATTATTAGCTGGTAATTCCTGTTTCACCCTGTACTTACGCTTTTTAAAGGAACACCAGATTTCTAAAATGGGCTTACCTCCTCTAACACAAAAGCTATCTAGATCATTGTCTGCCCTCTAAGCATTGCTAAAAGAATTTTTAGTAATCAGCACACCAGTTTTGTGCCATTTCTGGCACAACTTCCCAGGACACAGGGTTGACTTTATCAGCTGAGGAAGTACTTGCCTTGGTTTGCAGGGAATTGTTCTCTTACATTCAGCTGGCATTTTCTTCTTCTTTTCAATGTGACACTGTTTCTGAGGAAGAAAACACTCATTGAGTTGCAACTTTAGTCTCTCCTTTTTCAGGCATCTTCCCCCAATTGCCGGCCTCCATGTCCTTCAATTGGGGGAGACTTGTTCTTCTCCCCTTTCCTCCTCTAGCTTCAAGTTCTGTCAGGAAATTTGTGGTAAGTTTTTCAACACATACACTTCACATCAGGATGATATACCCATAGTAGGCCTGGTTCCAATGCCCTTTGCATGACTTTGCCATTCTTTACACATGGGAGACTTACACATTTCACGTCATCAGGGCTTGGACTTTGGTAAGTTAGATATTTAGACGTACTTCGGTTTGTTGTAATTCTTGCTCCCATGGTGGTTTCGGGAGTTTGGCTGATTATGGCCGTTGTTCACTTCCTCTTCTTAATTCTGGTTGCTTGGTGTGTGTCACTCTATTTACTAATGGTTGGGGTTGTTGGGTATTAATAACATGGTCCACTTCCACTAACCACCTGTTGTTATTACATTTTTTTTCTTGCTATATGTTGCTACAGCTTGCACATTCTTAACACTTTTATAATTGTTCAACCGCTACCTTTTCTGCCCTTTTTGTGTCCCTTTCCTCATTTCTGGGGGAAGAGCATACCTGTTCATTCTGGGCAGTCACTTTCTGCTTGGTTTATTCTTTGTGCATCTACAACAGCCTTCTACCTTTGCAACGTAGGATTCTAGCTTTTGTGTGAAAGGAGATAAGTCCATTTCAGAAGTTAACATTTTTTTACATCGAAAATGTATTTCTGACCAGTACGTACCTCCTCTCACACACTTCCCTCCTTCTTCCCCACTAAAACCAGTGTATTTATTCTAGTACCTGCCAATTCTCAAAAGTTAGGATTGAGGAAGAATAGCAGAGGGAGCTAGCTGCACTGTTATAGGTGGCACAGTACTATTGGTGGAAAGTAGTCACATGATATGTACATGTTCAGAAATGGCACAAAACTGGTGGGGCATAAAGACTGGTGTGCTGATTACTAAAATTTCTTTTAGCAATGCTTAGAGGGAAAACAACGATTGAGATAGCTTTTACGTGAGAGGAGGTAAGTATCTATTGGAAATACATTTTCAGTGTAAGAACATTTTAACTTTTGTAAGAAAGCTAACTTTAAGGGGTAATGATAATATTGTTTACACTAGAATTATAATTTTTTTTAAAACTTATACTAAGCACCAGAGTGCTTAGTGATAGTCTGTTCCCAAGTGCTCTTAAAATGCTTTTCTGTCATACTAAAGCATTGCAAAAACTTCACACATTTTTAGCTAGTGTGGGAAAAGATAAAAGAAAGGTGATTAACACTTTGGCTCTTTAGCTATTTCCCAGTTCCCTACTTTAGCAACACCTTTCAGTGATATTGAGAGTCTCAAATGCTGTGAAATACTTGATAATGGCAATTAGGTGCTCAAATAAGGCTATAACTCTAACAATTATTTGTAAGTATCATAAAGTAAGAGATTGAATGTGGCAGCCATTTTTTTCTTGACCCATCCCTAAATCTACAAATTGCAGTAATAAACTCACTTAAAATTATACTATTGATCAGATAAATTTTTTTTTTAAATTAAGTGAAAAAAAAAAAGTTAGGATGAACACCTCAGTAGAACGTAATGTTAACATAATCATGAAAATAAGTTACATACAAAACCAAAAAACTGACAAAAAGACCTTCATAGGCTTTGAATAGAATGGTCTTCTTCATGTAACTATTAACCACAAATCTTCATGTTTTTATACTTAAACATATGGCACTGAAATAGCAACCACTAAGATTTTACTCTAAACATCAAGAGGTGAAATTTTTCTTATTGCTTTCATGAGCCATACTTGTCAATTTTAGACTATTCATACTCCTGACAGTTATCAGTCTTATATTTTCTCTATAATGTTCATTTTACTTTATTATTTTTTGTAGTTCACTGTTGTGTTTTAGACAGTTGTACAAATTAAGATAAAACCTACAAAAAATTTAATAAACTTTACCCCTAAGTTCACTTGATTAATTTATATGTTCATATAAATGATGTGTGACTATAAAGTTATAGTGTTGATTGGATGCTTGGTTTAGGTGATCCTTACATGGTGATTAAACTCAATATTAATTCATATGTATATTCAGATGTCAATGAATGTGGGACACCAAATTTCTGTGGCCCTAACGCAGTTTGTGTCAACTCCATCGGCAGCTACCACTGTGAATGTAAAAGTGGTTACGAAAAAATCAGGCCTACTCCTGAAAGTCATTGCAAAGGTAAAGAAAAAATTAATGGACATGTGGTTTACTTTGGTAAAATTCTGGTGATAGAATGTCATTAAATTGAAGACATACCACATTATTTGTACCAAAACAAATATCTTCTGAATGTTGAAATTTAAGAAACTTGAAGACATTAAAATCCAACTTAGCATCAAACTTATCAACAGACAGGGGTGGTGGGTTGACTGCAGTGATATATATTAATGAATTTTCCATGGCTAATGGTAGAATGAACTTTCAAAGTTTGATGTGGAGGGGAGGGAGTCTGGCTTTCTCTTGCTGTCAGCTTTTATGTATGGGTCGGATTCTTTACAGTAGGTGTTTCTGACTTGTTGTTGATAAATGTCAACAATAAACAAATAGCACCCAGTCCAATTGTTTTAAAATAATATATTAAAACAAGTCAAATGTATATACAAATGTTCATTATACTGTTTGTTACCACAGTTGAATCTAGAGCTTTAAATAATTGTCTCTTTTTCGTCAAAGTCCAAACAGGCTGGTAGAATTACTTTAGAACACAATTTGACAAAGACAAATTATTATTCTCTACCCTGTTATTACAATACAACCTTTGATAGTTTCATGAAATCATCACTATATGCTCTTTATGGCTAAACTCACAATCATACGGTCTAGATCTATTTAACTATCTATGTATGTCTAACTCAAACTACATTTTGGATGCATATTTATAGCCTGATAGAAGCCTAGAATGTTTCGTTCACTGTGAGATATTATGATGTAATAATACTCAATTAAACCAATGAGAAAACATAGAAGGTTCTATTAATATGATGCAATAATACAACAAGTTCCAATTCACCAACAGTTGAACTACACAATGTATGATTCATAAACGGTTACATAAACATACCTGCGATAGACTATCACTTGTAAAAATAACTAAATTTATTACTAGGGCAATACTTAAACCATCTAAATCATAACACTTGCATTAACGTAAACAGTCATGTATATCTAACGTTGAAGTCAGTCATCATGCATGTTAGCATTTGCACCTATTCTGTCAATACTGCCACGACTGCTTTAAAGTTATCACATCAGCTTCATTAAACCCTATAATAACAGTTATTAGCTGCTATAAGTTAACTTAACTAAATTATTGCTGAATTAATCACTCGACACTAAAGTGAAAAACAGTCCACTCAAAGTCAAAATGCAAATACCGTATATGGAAGGGTCCCTCTTTGGGTATCAATACTAAGGGAATCTCTGTTGGTTTCATTTTCTCCACTTATTTATATGGTTAAATTCAGCAGATACTCTCATCTGGTCTGAAGTTGAGATTTTCATTTTGTCACAACTGCCTAGGACGATTACCATCTGCTCCGGTGTCAAGAGAATTTTTACTGTTTGTGTTTCAGTCCATTGATTAATATTAACTTTTCTGTATCTAAATTGGACAATGACTCTATTTTAACACATCGATACTCATATTGTTTATTAAGTAAATTCAGAATGCTAGTAGTTTTTTTATATTAAATGATCTTTTTGGTTTTCTTACATGTTTGTTAGCTGTGAAGCAACTTGATATTGAAAGTATGTAATTTTGAAATTATGTAATCTTATATTTCCCTCAAAGTAACTCTCCTTGTAGATTTTTGACACTTAGGATTCTATTTTTTTCTAATTTAGTGATTTTTACTGCTTTACCTTTTTATAATTACTTATTTTTCTTTTCAATCCTTACTATCATCAGATATCAATGAGTGTCTACTTGAAATACCTCCATGTGGAACCAATGCCTTATGTATTAACAGAAATAGTAGTTATGAGTGTGTCTGCCCTGACCACCTTCAAGGGGACCCAGAAGTAGCCTGTGTTTGTATGTATCAGCAGTTGTTTAAACTAGTGCATATACTTGTACATCAAAATCTTAATGTTAGTTAGTGAATGAAAATAATTGATGTTAAATACATTACATGTTTCCTTATATTTCTTTAACATTTTTTGCTTATATTTATATAACTATACTTAAATTATTGTAATGAAAGGAATACTTAATCATGCTTAAACTATATGGGGGTGAAAATTCTTCTTTACATGTTCAATTTTTATATAACATTTTTAAATGAAAAAATCATTTTTTTTTATAAGCATAATAATCCTTATGCTATAGGATGAAATTTTTGTATTTTTATATTGAATAGGCTGCTCAGAAAAATATTGTTAAAGTAATAGCAAAATTCAGGTAGTTCTAGTCTAATTCCAGCTGTTTTCAAACTGGTGGTGGGGGTCACAGTGTCAGTACTTATTTTTGACTTCTTATACAGAAATTTCTTGACTTTTCATGTTTTAGAAAAAAACGATAATTTGAATTTGTTATTAGTTAATATAGTGCTCAGAATTAACACCTTTTTGGCATATCATATCTAGATTTCAATGTTCACATAACACTTGCACAACTTTCAGCCACCACAGTGAGTGTAGCTAAACCAAAGATTTCTCTCTCATAGCCACTCCTATCAGAACATAACGCACTTTACTAAGATCATGTAATGCAGCTCTCACTAGAAGTTCCTTATAATGTGAATTAAATCAGCTTTTAGTTTATGATAATATATAACTCTTAAAAACTATCATAACAGTTAAATTGTTGCAATTTGTGTTTCATAATTTTAGAGTTGATGCTTTGTAAGATAAAATATAATGTAAGTTTTATTTGTCTTTTAATTGTACTAATGACTGTATAAGCTTTCTTTATTCATTGTTTCTTGGTACCAGTAGTCAGAATGTAGAATTTGATTTTGCCCTCTTAATAGTGTTTTGGGAATGGAAAGATTGTTCAATCTAACACTGGTATACACTTTTCCAGCTCCTTGTGCTGGCATTGATTGTGGTTCCCATGCTGCCTGTCGAGTCAATGGAAGAGAGGCTAACTGCATTTGTGACCATGGATTTACTTTTGATCCAACAAATATAACAGCTGGCTGTATTGGTGAGTGTTGGTTTTACAAACTTCACTGAATACTTGTCAGTGAACTTGCAAGTACAAAGTATATATATATGTGTGTCATTAAGCTAATGTTTAGTTCTTTACAAGGAAGATGCCAAAACAGGGTCCATCATATTGAACCTCGAACTGCAATGCAAAGTATCTCAAATTTGTTTGAGTTAAAAAATTTTCACAGGTTTTATGATAAAGTTATTTATAACCACAAGTTATCTCTACATAAACCTTGTAACATTAACCTTTGTGACAATGAGTCTTAATTATCACTTACACTTCATTGTGCATTTTCTTAAAAATAAACATGCCTTTAATATTAATTTCTTTGTGGTCATTTTGCAGTACATGGAGAGAAAAATATAGCTTAAATACAAAGATACATGTCTATTGAATATAGAATATGAAAAAAACTTGTTTGAAAACTCATTAACATACTGACTAAACGTAAATAATAGATACTTAAAGAAAGTTTTATAATTGAAAAATTATGAAAAAGAACAATCAAGCAGTAAATAAAGAGACTGGTTTTATAATAAAAAATAACTGCATTTGCTGTTTTGTAAATCTAATTAATATTAAATAGCAGTTTTTATTAAATGCCAATTGTGGTTAAGGGCATATAAAAAATCATCACAAATTTCAAACTTGGTCTTAAGTGAAAATTTATGCACTGAATAATTAAAACAGGTTTATCTCAAAACTTCTCATAATGAAGAGCTGTATTACTAATAAAATCTAAAAAGGGCTATTATCTTTTAAAGAACTACATTTTAATTTCACTAATAAGTAGCATATTGTACCACAAATGTATTTAGATTTATTTTTGTTCTTGCAAGGATAATTTATATAGGCTTTTTGTGTTTCCTGGTATTGTGTGGTTAATGTTTGTAATATTTTATGATACTTATGTACACATCTTTTAATACTAATGTGTGAAATGTAGCTTTTCGTGAACCAATCTGTGTTTGGCAGTCTTTTGAAGAGAAAATGAATATTTATTTGAAAGAGATATCCACTAAGGATACAATTTATTTAGATGTGAATGAGTGCAGTAACAGCCATGGACCATCAGGACTATGTGGACAGGGAGCAATATGTACTAATGCTTTGGGCAGTTATCAATGTGTATGTCCTCCTGGATTCACTGGAGATCCATTTAGATACTGTGAAGGTAAAGTAAAGTTTCACTTTATATCTTTCTTGGTATAATCTTTCCTTAATTGTATAAACGTATTTCAGGGATTTAGAAAATCCAAGCTGATAGTTACTTAAAAAATAAAAACTTTTCAAAACAGTAATTTTATTTGGACAATCATATATACAGTGTGGTCACAAGTAAATAGACACCACATTTTCAGAAAAAAATGAAATTTTTCAGCCATATTCACTCAGTGTACAGAATTTTAATAATGGAGTTAATGAGTATGATAATTTTGACACTCCATTGTCTATACATGGAGTCAGGTCTTTGATTAATTTGTATTCACAATTTTCTCATCATATCACATCCTACATGAAAAATTGTTCAGTTTATAAAATCAAATGATATCTTGAAATGATTTTAAAGTTAAGATGCTCAATATATAATTTGGTACACTGTACATTGTAATATTTGTTAATCTTATGTAGAGTAATTGTTGTACTGCTTATTAATTAAGTTAAATTACTTTATTTGAACTAATAATGTAGAAATTTATCATTTCAAACATTTTTTATATTAAATCATGAATGGTTTTCTAGTGGAATGTGAAATAATCTTCAGGAGAAACATTTTATTTGTACAAACATTTTTAGAAGAAAATTATATCTTGATTTTGGTTCACTTTATACTGGTTTATAGATTTTTGGAATTGCGTATACAAATAATATGATAACCTCCATTATCATCACAACTTTAAATCCAAAATATTTAATATCAGGTTTTGAAAGAATGAAACCATCCCTAAACAAAAGTGTTAAATATATCAAAAATTATATTAAAGTCAAATTTCAAAATAGCTTAAGCTTCAGGTTTTTAGACCATTAATACAAACCTCTTTCTGGTTCAAAAGTCAATAACTTAAATTAATTAATATAAGTCATTGCTTTCACAGATTTACTGGATTTAGAACTTGCCTAGATGGGAAACAGTTTTAATATTTGTTTTTACAGTTTAGTACAATTTCAGAAATAATTCATTTTCAAGAATAAGTATTGATGTAAGAGCAATAAAATTTCAATTATAATAATGGAAAGTATTGTTCATCCTTCTATTCTATTAAACAAGATTTTAATAGATTGATTAGTAAACACCATGTACAATATGAACAAGAATGTACATTGTTGTACATGTACAGTGCATTAAACTCAATCTTATTGATTATTTTATTAACAAATATAGCACTTTGCCAAAAAAAATAATGAACTTGCTTTTTACAGTTATTATATATGTTTATAAGAATAAGTTAATCATGTTTTAGAAAAAAAATTTTTTAAATCGGATTCTAACCAAAATTATGACTTTTTTTCAGATATTGATGAATGTGATGCTAAATATGGTATGAGTGGTCAATGTGGAGATAGGTCTATGTGTGAGAACTCTCTTGGGAGCTATTCATGTTCTTGTTATCCAGGGTACACTGGCAATGCCCGATTAAGGTGTCAAGGTAAATACCTGTCAAGTGAAATATGCAGCCATATCTAATAGATTTTAAACTCTTTATTACTATAAATTACCCCAGCAGAATTCTGATATTCTTATATTTTTCACCTATTAAATCTTATTTTTCCATAAAATCAGTTTCATTATTATTAGTAATTATAATGTTTAAAATAATTTGCTATTATTATTATTATTCTTTCACGCCCATGAAGATTATTTTGCATTGTTAGCTTAGTGTATGGCTTTAAAAATAATTAAAACTCTTAATATAATAAAATGGATCTATATAATTAAAAGAGTAACTTGTGTGTGTATACGTGGGAAGCTTTTTAAACTTCATTTATCTGTGCAAAAATCAAATTAGGAAAAAAGAAGTATGGATGATATCACCATATGCATAAGTGAGGGGTGGGTGTAGATATTACCTTATGCATTGCAAAGGGAAAGGTATTAGGGAATAATTCTGTCATCCATCAGAGCCCCATCTCAGACATCAGTGCTTATGTGTTAAGGTTTTATGTGTGAATTTCTTCATTTGTTTATAGTCATTTTAGGTGCTGGTACCATCACCCTGTTTAATAGGGACTTGGGAATAATATCACAGAATTTAGTGATTACCCTGATACACAGGTCTTTAAAGCATTACTAGATCTGAAGTCTCTTACTAGATAAGTTGATCAGTTTGTCATTTTTGATCACATCATTTGGCTCAAGGTATCTTTTGTAGTAGAGGAGTTTGGTGGATATCATGTGTTGTGGAATAGATTTAACCTCACATTCATTGATATGCTCTGCACAGCCATCAGATTTGTTCAGAATTATGTACTTAACCTCATGCATAAATAGACTAGGTAGGTCACTTAACTGTTTTAGTTATTTTAAATACGCAGCACTACCTTTACATTTTACAAACTCTGTGAATTCAAATACAAAATGCCATAATAATAAAAATGTTTCATATGTGAAGTATGAGTTTTTCTCCTAGTAAGATATTATTAGATTTTTGTCTGAAAATAACACTCCCACTGTGACAATGAGAGAACCCCAACTGATGCCTCAAAGCATTTCAAATATATTTTATTTCCTCGGGTATTGATTTATGACTTTAAATACTTTGAGCCAGAATAGAGTCATTAGTTTATAATTTGGATTTTAGTTTTGAGCTGTTTGGTTAGCTTATGTTTGAACAGAAGTTATTGATAATTAATCTTTGTATCAGTTGTATTTGTACCTTTATTTAAATGATTATATATATATATATATTAATTCAGTAGCATATCACCAGAGATGTGAGCCCTGGTACCATAAACAATATGTGTAATACACCTATCTATTTCTTTCACAGCAAATTACTGATCATTCAACAGTGCAATGCTGCCATAGGTAGACTTAGGCTAAATATATATAAATTCATACAAATGATGGTTAGATAATGTAAAGCTAAATAGCAACATTTTAAAAAGAAACCTTTTAGTATTCTCAAAAAACACATTAGAACTTTTAGAACAGCAATGAGCTCCAAACTACACCCTAACCCTTATTCACAAATCAAAGGCTATAGTTATGAAAAAAAAAAACCCTTCAATCTAAAAAAAAATCACTACAATAAAGTTGGACATATCTCTTAGTACCATTAACAAGGTAATAAACTTAGATTTAAAGGTGACAAAGGCCTAAAAGCAAATAACTTATAAGCTTTCAGTTACACTTCAAGATCACTAGCTGTTTTCATGAAAAATATGGCAGAAAAAACAGGAATGATACAATCCTATTTGACCACATATCTGTCAAGTCCCTCAATACAGCTATAATGAATTTTTATGACTTTAGTTGGCTTAAGTACAATTTAGAAGCCGATGTTCATGTACAGTAGAGAGTATATGGAGAGTTTGCCAAAATGTGTGGTTTTAAAGTTAATCTCCCCATCCTTCAGATTTAGTGTGATTAACAATGATGAATGTAGTTCAAGAGCAATGCAAGATCAGATTAATTGTTCTTATATAAAGTGTAATTAATCTTAGTAATAACGAAGTAATAAGTAGGCAAATTAATAGAAAAAAAAAAGCGTATTTAGATTGGTGTGAGTAACCAATTTAAATCAATAGGTAATTGCTTGTTTATTGTTGTGTATTAATGTCTTTGGAAATTGTAAGCTCTGGAGGAAAAAATTAAAACTTATGGGTTCAGACTGATCATGACATGAGTAAGCAGGTGTACCTTGTGAATGATTTATTCATCAACTATTTTTAAACAGAGTAAGAACTATTCCTTCTAAATTTTTTTACAGATATTAATGAATGTTCTGAGGTCTTTGGAGCCAATGGAAGATGCGGCCTTTCTGCTATTTGCACCAACACTGAAGGTGGTTTCGAATGTCGTTGTCCATCAGGAACAGCAGGAGATCCTTTTCAGGAATGTAAGTTTTATTAGGTCTTTTACTTCTTTTTTTCATCCAAGACTGATATACCCATTAACATGCATATGTGTGTGTGTAAGTTTAACAGCAAGATCCAACAATCCCTCAAGGTTTAATATGCCCGTTGCACTAGAATATCATGTATTTATACTTTCCTATTTTTTTATAGTATTATTCTGAATTTATCATTTATTCTATATATGTGCAGTTTTTACATAATAAATAGTCCAGAAAATCATTAAATTGTCATTCTAACTATCTTTGTCTCAAGTCATTCTATTTAGATCACACCTGTTTTACCCATTGAGAGGGGAGGGGGGCTGTAATACTAGTGTTCTTTAATGGTAGCTCAGGTGGTATCTTGAGGTTAGAGCCTTTCCTCTGCTTGAATGAAAATGATAATTTACATGGGTTGCACACATCACTCTTCAATGTTAGCTATAAAGTAAGGAACATTGAATTTAGACAGTCTAGTGGATGATTTTGACCTGATCAATTGAAGATAACTAAACCAGTAGAATTGACTCTCATTTCTGTAAAGCAATTACACACATTGTGTTTGCGTCTTTAAATAAATAATGATTGCTTTCTTGTATTTTACATTGTGTTCAATCTTTTTCTTTCACAAATTCATTTACTCAGAGATTCAGTACTACTTTGTAATAGATATCTTGTTGAAACTTCTTTTATTAAGTGGACCAATCCAGTTGTCCTGTGGGTAACTCAGTTTTACCTGAATATACCACAACTAACTTGTTTTACTTGCCATTCATCAAAATTTACAATTTCACTACTACTATCTCATATTTTTAGTTTTTAAAAATTTGATTATTGTTATTTATATGTGCTGTCTGTATTTATAATATATTTATTTCTTTTTTAAATATACAAAGAATTTTCTTAGAAAAATGCAATGAAATTCAAATGTTAGAAACTAATATTGTATTGCTTGTGATTTTGGCACTTTTAGTTTATCTGTTTAGCTTTCATACATGTAATTTTCCTTGACTGTCAGCTGTAATAGCAATTAAATACAGTTATATTATTTTACCTGTATACATATTTGCATTGAGTCATGTAATTTTGGTTTAATTTCAGTAGGATATTTATGACATTTAGAGTTTTTTGTTGTTTTTCATTAATCAGGTAAGGTTATGATTGAATGTATTGAAGACAGTGCTTGTCCAGGTAATGCAATATGCATGAACCAACATTGCTTTTGCCCATCTCCCAGTTTTGGAAATGAATGTCAACGTAAGTTATCTATTCATTTTTGATTAGGTATTGCACTTGATAAAAGGTATCTGAATTTTATTAACAAAACTTGCATGAATCATAATTATTGAAATTACTTTAGTTTATTAAACCAAAATAAGATTTGTTTTCCTTTAAGTGATATAAAGTAGTAAATATAGATGAAATATTATGAAATTAGCAAAAAACAATTGTTTTAAAAGCACTTACTGTTTCAAATAGAAAATGTATTTTAATAATATCTTGCCATAAAAACCCAAGAAGTTTTATAGATAGTTCAAAACTTTTTTTTCTAATTTGTTATAAGTTCAAGCATACCAAAAAAAGAAGAAGATAAAACTGATATATATATATTTTTAATATTTGGAATCACAGTAGATAGCATTTTTAATATAAGTGTAGTTAAAAATTATTTTTTCTTATAGATCCCTGTGATGAGATATTTTGTGTAGACAATGCAAAATGTGAACTGGATCTTTTTGGTCATCCTAACTGTGTATGTGCTCCTGGTTACACAGGTCAAAGCAACAGTTTGTCAGGTTGTGTGGGTAAGTATTTCTCTGAATGAATATATAAAATATAAAACTTTCAAATATATTCTTTGTTATCACGTTTAATTTTTTTTTCAGTGATTTATATTAGAATCAAAGATACATTTTAGTAGAACAAGTCTGCTTTTGTCAGTTAATAATAAATAATTTTGTTTTGAATTTGTCATTTTAAGCTTGTTTTAATAAATACTGTCTGAAGGTTTCTTGTATTTAAAGTTTTATTTGTGTATGACAATTTAAAAATACAGTGTAATAAGTGAGAAAAAAGTTAATAATACCCATTAAATTCATAGAAAATAATTATTTATGTTTACTAACAGAAAGTTGCTGTAATTAAGAAATCAGTTAATAAGGTGTAATAATTACAGTATCAAAATAGTGTGTGTTGAGGTGTGTAAAATTCAATATATTTCTATTTAAGGCTCCAACAAAGTTATGAGAGAAAAATAATCATTAACAAAATTGTAAGAAAAAATATATCTCGTAACTTATGTATATGTTAATAACTAAAAGAAAAGTAGACACAGAGGAAAATTTAAAAATTTTCTTTTGTTACTTTTTTTAAGCTTATTGAAAATTAAACTATACATGGTAACAAAAATACTAGGAAAGTATATATGTATACATAAACTCATAGAAATGTAATAAAACATTTTATTTTGCAGATATCAATGAATGTGATGCTAGTGATACTTGTGGAAGAGATGCTGTTTGTCGTAACATACCAGGATCCTATGAGTGTATCTGCCCTCAAGGTCTTTTGGGTGACCCATATATAGGATGTTTTCCTGATGGTGGTAAGAGTGCATATATATTACTTGCACAGGTGACAATTCTTAATTGATGTAAAACAGAAGTGCCAGCCTAAAAAAATTTGGAATCTGAGTAGAGAAATAGGAATGGTTAATCTAAATCTTCATTCAGTTTTCCATTATAAGCAAAGCTAAAATCCACAGAGTGAAACATAAAAAATACGTGGTTTCATTTATTTTGAATGATTTAATGTATGGCAAGTCAGCAATGTATTCACACTTAAATTTTAGCAATACCTTGTTTGGTAAGAATTGTATAATGGTACACCATTTATAATTGCAGTAGTTGATGTTTTTTGTTTTTTTCTTTAACCTTAAGTTTACTTTGTAGGTATTGTTTACATATTAATTTTATCTGAAATTTTTCTTTTGTAGTTTCATTTTTGATTTGTGGTATTTTAATGTTAGGTTCATGTCTCAGTAAGCCAAAGTTCCATATTAGAATGCAGTTTTTTCTTATATTGTCATTCTTGTGGCTGATTTTTTTTTCTTATTTTTACCTTTACATCATGGATACATGGATATTGTTTAAGTAGTAAACATATCTGGAATTTTTTTTATCCTTTTCTTTTCAATTTCTTTGTTGTGAGAGTGGCATCCCAATATGGATCACTTTTTCTCCACGCTTTTTTTTTATTTTTTCAGGTGCACTTTCTTGGTTAGATGGCTTTTGTTTCAATAACTAATTTGGCTATTCAAATACTGGTTGAGCTAGCTATCAATATGATTTCTAATTGACCAATATTTCATTGAACATTAAAGAAAGTGTTTGAGTAAAGGTTCCAAAGTAGAAACGCTTAAGTGATTAGAATCCTGGTTTCATTCTCATAACAAATTTATCAGTTATGTTATAAAAACCTGCAAAATGTTAGACAATATCATTAATTAATAGTATAATCATAATGGTGTAAACTGGTATTAAAAATCCAATGATTTCACTAAAATATGAATGGGTGGCATCTCTGCTACTAGCAACCTCTCTATGTATTGAGCTGTATAATATTCATGTGTGTAAAAATGTAGCTGAGTGTCTCACTGTATAGTAGCTTATAGCTTAGAAATTCATGGATTACATTTTTTTAATGTATAGAATAGATGTGTAGATTATTTTTTACAACCCAGGAGGTGTATTCTTTCTTAATATAAAGAAAATAAAATTAATAAGATCAGGTGCTGATATATAAATATTCGAATTAAATGTCTTAGTTGCAACAGTAATTGAGACAATTTTAATGAATATGGTTATAAATTTACAATTTTAAAAAACTTGTCTAACTTACAGTTCCACAGAGACAGGATAGCTGTTCTGCCTTAACACCTTGTCAACCAAAGGAAGACTGTGTTACTCAAAAGTGTATTTGTAAGAGAGGCTACATAAGAAATCCAGTTACAGGAAAATGTAGAGGTAAAATATGAATTTAGATACATTTTGATGGATTTGTGTTGGTAGATCAACAACTAATTTATTTTTATAGATATTCAAATCTAGCTTCTGGACTTATTTGTTGTATTTATAAACATTTCTAATGATTTTGCACGCTTAGAACTGATTAATGTATAATTAAGCTACTTCTTAAACCATCAATAGAACTTATTTCTAAAATTAATGTATTTTAAATCTTACATTAAGGTGTAAAAATTCAATTTATTCTTCTAAATAGGAAAAAAGAATGGAAAGTTTAGAAATAATAAATATTGGTTTTTCAATATGTGCTATATGAGATATTAGATTAAGTATATATGAATTTAGAAGTGTAGGTATTATTTTGTTATATGATTACATAAATACCATTATTTAGGCCCCCCAGTGGCACAGTGGTATGTCTAGAGATTTACAATGCTAGAAACCAGGTTTCCATACCTTTGGTGGGCAGAGCACAGATAGCCCATTGTACAGCTTTGTACTTCACTACAAACAAACAAACCATTATTTAGTCACTTTCACAATTGTAATTATTTTGTCATTCAGTGACAGTGAATAATAACATAAATTAAAGGTCAATAAATTACAATTATTTTTTGTTTTTCAGATATTAATGAGTGCACGGAATTCAGAGACAAAGCACCATGCGGGATTGATGCACTCTGCATTAACATGGAAGGAAGCTATGAATGCCTCTGTCCACAAGGATACAAGGGCAACCCCTATTCAGTCTGTCTTACTCATAGTGAGTCTTTATATTTTCTTTTGTCTTAGTTATAAAAGAATGAATACAACGATACTTTGTCAAATAGTATCATAAGTATGTTCATCACCTGTTTCAATAATGTACAAAATTTAATTTTTCATTATCAAAACAAAATAGTTTTATAATGTTGTTTCTTCATGATTAGGTATTCCCTGCCAGAAAGACAGCCAGTGTCCTGGAAATACAGTGTGCATAGAGGACAGTTTCCAGTCTTTTCACTGTGGTTGTAAATTTCCATTTGTTCAGGAAGGGAAATACTGCATTAGTAAGTTAATTTTATGCATACAGATGTATTCAAAATACGTGCATGCAAAACACCAGTTTATAACAAGGGTAAACCAGAGATTTGTGTTTTTCATTTTAATATTTTGATTAGATCAAGCTGGATATAATTGTATAGAATTACTCTGTTTTGATAGGTCTTTAGAATGCCTTAGTTTAGAGAATAGTTACATAGATCAGGATAATATACATGCTATACACTAATTTATGCTAATTGATATTAACCTCCAATCAAAGCAATCTACATACTTAAAATCAACTTAGTAATGAGTATAACTTATTAAATATACTTTTATTACATTCTTACTTATATACATATATTAAAAGGCATTGTTTCATCAGTTGGGTACCCTAGCTGATAATGATGTATTCAACCATAATCCTAATAATATCTCACAAAGTTTAGTCAACTTAGGAGACTTAGGCTAGTCTTAAATATATATATACTAATCTAAAAATCCAAAACACAAAGTTTGGCCAGCTTAGGAGATTTAGGCTAGTCGTAAATATATATATTAATCTAACAATCCAAAAACAATAACTATAATATAGAATAAAATTAAAAAGTAATGACATTTAATACTGTTAATGAAAGTAACAATAAATAAATAGTGTAGAATACCATAGTTGATTACACAATGTGTTGAAGAATAATAAATTATACCAAAGAAACCAATATGCACATTCTCTTTATTGTCATCTTAAGCAAAAACAAGTTTGCTACTGCAAAACAACCTGATTATATTAGACTTATAACAGATATGTAGTTTAAGTGCCTATAAAGTTTAAAATACAGTTTAACACCGTGTTTAATAGTTATTTTTATAAAGTTAGTTGTAATATAATATTATTTTTGTTAAATTATGAAAAAGTTTTTTCATGATAGTTAATGTCATATGTTTTATGAATATTGAACCTATCTTTCAAGATTTGATTGAAGAGTAATTTTCTAATTATATATATTAAGTTTTGATAATTTGCACCTTTTTTAACAATTAATGGATGGTATCAGTATTTCACTAGGTAAATTTTGGGTTCCTTGGTTAAAGTCTTATATTGCATGAGGATGATGCTTTTAGAAAATTTAGACAAGAAAAATCTACAACCACTAGATTACAAATGAAACAATATTTTAGACTTTAAAAACTATACTTTTTATAAGATTAGTAAAGGTAGGTTTTACGCTGATATCTAACACCAAATTTTTACATCATAAGTAATAGCTCTGAGGTAGGATAACTTTAGTTTGAATTTGGTAAACATATAACCATTGCTGCAAAATATAAATATCACAAGATGTTTCAGAATTTATTTCCCTGGAACTTTCCTCTTTATAACCTGGAGAATGATAATTGTCATAGTTCCATAAATACAGGTACCAAAGAGATTTTCTATATTATGTTTGCAATTCTGAAATTCACCGTAAGATAATATTTCAACTTCAAAGGACAATATATCATAATAATTTATATTAATATTTCTATAATCCAATTTGGATAAGATACAATTGCATACTTACTAAGATAAAACTGTCAAAAAATTGTCTTTCTTGTATTCTAGTCAAGATGAACATAGAACCGATTTCTGAAACAATAGTGCACTTTCTATTATTTATTCACCATTATAGCTAAAAATGCTAGGTAACTGAATATACAATATTAATTAGAGTCTTTAAAAAGTGGATTTTAAAATTTTTTCATGCTATTTACCTATCAAGACTATTTCAGCTTTTTTTTCAATGTAATTTGTTTTGATTTTGTTCTACAGAGGTTAGTAGAAACTGCTCTACAACCAGTCCTTGTCCTGAAAATCAAGAATGTGTCTTTACGGGAGTAAATCATGGGTTCTGCATCTGTCCACGTGGTTATACTGTTGAAGCTGATGGATACTGTAGAGGTAAGGAAAATCAAATTTTGAGGGAGTGGATAACAATTAATTAATTGATTTTTTTTTTTTTAAGTGATGGTGTTGTATTTACATAAGATGACAAAGCTAAATTTTTACATAAGTTATTTGGACACATGAATCACACTGCATAACACACATTGTAAATGCATAGGCTTGCAATGATGACATGCAGTATCTAAAAATATGTCATTTTGATCTGGAAGCCCCCTTTAATGATGCTCACTAGTTTAATTTTAAATAGAAGTATATATCATAGCTTTTGGAAATAAATTCAGTGATGGAATATCTGACTGAAATTGATATAACTCTTATGGAGTTCTACAATTAGAAGTATAAATATGTTTATATATGTTTTATTTAATCCTAGCATTACTGATGGGGTGCAGACACTATCAGATTTTTAATCATATTGTTCTTAACTATTTATCACCAAATTGTGCAGTAGGCTTATTGGTTACAGGTCCCTAATAACTTATGAATCACACACAAACATTTAAAACCATACCATCAATATTGCAACTAAATTAATTTCTCTAATTACTGCTGGAATTCTTGTATGTTGTACATATAAATGCTTGCACCGAATTATATTGATCAGTTCTTTATACTGAGTGTTGTGACTGGTAAAAATATAAAAATTATACGACTCAGTATGATACAACATATGGATCCCATGAGTAATGAGTGGTATGTAAGCAAACCAATAATTTGAGGGTTAATAATGATAAAAGATGATATTGGAGATAGATATATATATATATATATATGTACTTAACATATAACTATCTTATACATGCTTGTAATGCAAAATGATGATCATCATGTAATGTGTTTCAGTTTGTTTGATTGATGGAATGCAAAGATTGCTTATTCAGTTCCTAATTGTCTGTTTGGATTTGGTTTCTAATTTCTGATATGTGTGTGTAGCTTATGTTTTCTTCTTTTTAATGAAAGAAATTACAAACTATATTAAAGACACATAAAATCTTACAAACATTAGCATAAAGTGTTTCCTTAAATTTAATTTTGTTCTCCACTAGATATAGCAGAATGCACAGAAATCAAAGAATGGTCTCTTTGTGGACCTCATGCAGAATGCATCAATCTACCAGGTTCTTATGAATGCATATGTGACTCTGGCTACACTGGAAATCCAAAGAAAGAGTGCTCTTTCATTGGTTAGTATAAAAGTGATCTTTGAACTCGTTGATTAAAATTGCTAAGAAAAACCTAAATTGTGAAAGTGTTTGAAATTGGATTTAACAGGGTGTCTATAAATGGTTGTTTTAAGATGTAATTACTTTTAAATAAAAAAAATATCTGAACATATTGCAAAGTGAATCACTTCCACAAGACTTCTGTCAACCTCAGTATATTTTTGCAAACATCTTCACTGTATTTGATATGATCCTGGAGATCACCATGTATAGCTGGACATAGAGTGTAAACAGGAGATTTGGTGGGTTTGCACAGACAAAAGTCCAGTAGTGTTATGCCTTTAGAGTGCAGTGCCCAGGATTAAAGTCCTTTACATCCATTCCAACAGTTTGTTATGACAATATTCAGTGCCAAAAAATACAAAATGAATATTGTCTCTATCTGCCAATAACACCACCAGCTTCCAAATATAAGAAGGAAAAGTAGTCTATCATGTCCAAGTTTGTAAGCCGGTGTTTTAGTAACTGAAGTACTAGTGTCTTTATTTATGCCGAGTTATCTAGTCCTCTTCTAGGGACACACAGGTTTTATTTCATTGAAGGGCTTACACAATTGCTTAATAGCATTGTTTGATTTATACCAAAGCATGATAAACTTGTCAGAATTAGCACATGAATTCCACTTACCAAAAATTATCTCTGCTTTTTCTTTTTTTCTACTGAACTTTCATTTCAACACTATCTGTTAACAAAAGTTTCATTCTTAGTTTAGGCTAAAACTGGAGAAGTGGAATAAAACTTGAGGGTTTTTAAACCAACTTGCTTTTTACTCCCTGTCTTTTGTCTTCCTTTGCTGAAAAGATATTTTAGATTGTGTACAACCAATTGTAAACACCTTGTATAATTTTGGGCTTGCATCTATTTGCAGGGATAACTTGTATTATAAAGAAATATAAGTTGTTAACTTTTTACATCGAAGTAACTTAAGTTTTTTAGACCATATAATTTAAGGTGAAAAAGTTTTGTATCTTTATGTAGCTAATACTTTATACCACAAAGTTAATTTAGGGTGCTGAATGATCTTAGAATACTGTGTATTATATAATAGTTTCATATATTATGTTTTTAGTATGAAAACAACTTCAAATGCTGCATGATATCAACCAGATGTTAGGGTTTTAGGTAGTTGTTTTTCCATTGTTCACTCTTTATGTCACAATTATATTTTGCTAATTTTATGGAGACTCTGTATCAAAAATCCCAGAGGCACAGGTTTTGAAACATTTTATTAACTTGGAAGTTTTTTATTTTAATATTCTACTTTAATTGTTTCCTATCATTATGTTTTTTATTTTGTACAGAAATGTTTTGCAACACGAATAATGATTGCCCTGCAAGTCAGCAGTGTATACAAGGTCAATGTACATGCATGCCTCCTTATGTACTAAATGGCCAAACTTGTGAAAGTAAGTAATGTTAAAAGGTTGTTTTAAAAGATTTAGTGTATAACAATCAAATGCCTTATAAATGATTTTTCTTAACTTACTTTTCTCAAGAAAGTTTAGATTTATTTTTAGATGGTTACATATGAAAACTTTAGAGTCTTTTAGATTTTTTAATATCCCAACATTTTACTACAGCTAAACTGCTATTAGATATATATACCTATCACTGTTTTTGATAAAAACATTTTTCAGAGCCTGTAAATTATCCTTGTTATTACCTTTCAGCAGTGAATATAATACAGTATATAAGTCATTTTTAAATACAAATTTAAAGAAAAAGAGTAACAAGATTGAATTCATACAGTTACTACAAATGTCATATTATTATTAATATTATCTATAAATATATCGAAATGTTTAATATCAGATAAATAGAATTTTCATTTACTATTCAAACTTCCATTCAAAATATTTATGTAAATGAATAATTATCTCGGATTGCATTTTGAACAACAAATGGAGTTTTGATATTTTTTAACACAACACACACTATATCATCTATTAATAAACACAAAAGATTTTTGTTCAACTTCCTTTAATAGTTGCCATAACTACACTTTATGTGTGTATATACAATCACTCAAAAACAAAGTATATTTAAAATAATGATATTTAATTGGCATACCTATTCAGTGATATTTTAAAAGTGCTTTCTCATTTGTGAAACAAGTATCTCATTTATTGCACACATAGATCCTTGTAACTGGAAGAAGTGTGGTCAGCATGCTAGTTGTGTGCTGAGTCAACGAGAAGCAGTTTGTGAATGTAACAAAGGATTTAAGGGTAATCCTAAGGAAAGATGTTGGGGTAAGTTTTCTTTTTTCCATTTTTACCTCTGTACATTAGTTAATCTTTACTTTTACTATACACATAGTTAATATTTTGTATAACAAATATTAATCATTAACCACTTATAGAATTTCAAAATTTTATATATTTGTTTTTTTTTGTATTAAAAATTCATTATCAGAACTGTAAAATAATAAATTCTCACAATCTTGCAGATGATTTCAACAAATATAAAGTTACAAGCAGACATTGTTTAGGACAGTATTAATTAAAGTATAATGATTCAAGTTTGAAAAAAAAAAAGTTTAAATACTAAGTAATCATTGTGTCATAGTGACTGGATCACTAGAGAAATTATTTTAATTGAAGGTTTTTTTTAACTTTTTATTCAATGAGTGAGAAACAAGAATTTTTAACTATGTGTGTATTACAAGAATTAAAAAATTTGATTAAATCCTATTTTGCTGTATTCTCAAATCTTTATTACTAATGGCTATTAGTATAACAGATATGTCTTAAATAATACTTCTTAGAATATTTTTATTTCAGGATATTATAAAGTATAAGAAATACCTTTAATTTTGACTTTATTCTTAAATTGTATAGTCTGATTATAGTTTTTTTACATAAGAGAATGAACACCTTTCTTAATTAAGTGTTTGTGTTTTGTGTGTGTCAAAATTATAAAACTAAAAAATGATATATATGTTTTGATACTGAGACTTGTATTTTTTTTTTTTTTAAAGATAAAAAAAAAATGAGTTGAAAAAATATTTTCATCCTAAGAAACGACCAGAAAGTGTAGAGAATAAAAGTTTAGATATTGACCTTCATTATGAAAAACTAAATCATTAATTTCTTAAAAAACTTATTTATTGATAAGTCATTTTAAGGATGTTTAGACTTCTTGGGTCTTATCCAGAAAACTTAAAATAACAAATTATGTTTTCATACAAAATATTTTAGATGTTAATGAATGTACAAGCAATCTACCACTGGATCCCAATGGTCCCTGTAGTGTTGGTGCTACTTGCATCAATACAATTGGCAGCTTTGTTTGTGAATGTCCACCTAGGTCAAGTGGAAACCCATATGAAGATGGATGTAAGTAAATGAACATAGCACAGTCTTCATACTTCCACTTTATTTGAAGTAAAGGATCCATCAATTTTAAGTTATGTACATAACTCACAGCATAAAGTTCTTCTCTCTTTTACCCATATTTCCATAAGATGTGATGTAAATAGCATGTAAGAGTATCAAAAGCTGACTTTGCTATCATATTAAAATATTTCTTGTTGACATATTTTGCTATAGTGAATCCTGTGGCCATTTTTAGGTAAAAGTCTGCAATGTTCAGATCAATAAAACCAGCCATCACAGAAGTGAAACATTTACATTATTTCTAGAAAAAGAAATAGTCTTTTTTTCGTGTTTTTTACTATTACCAAATGTTTATAAGGTTCCTGTAATGGGAAATTAAACAGTAATAGCTATGGCAGCAAGTTTGATGTTCAGCCTTTATTTTACATCAAACAAGCAAACAATCTGGGCATGAAGTTGAGACTTCTCAACAGCAATTAGATAGGTGATACTCCACAGTAAACATACTTGCCTCTCATTCACTTGGTTTCTAGCACTGCATTTTTCTAGCCTTTAAAGCCAATTAATTATTCATTATTATCTTGCACAACACATGAGAAAACAGTATCTCCAAGAGGTATATGTAAGAGTTACTATGTTTTGGCTAATCATATGGGTGAACAATAGTTTTGTAGAGAAATTAGACTTAAAATAGAGATAGGTTTCTCAATGTTGTCAGTCCTCACCACTGTATTTTATGCTAGTTGTTACCCCACCTTGCACAGACTGAGTGATTTCAGTACCTCACTAATCATTATGCAAATATAATGGTTGGAGATGGCTTGAATGGGTAATGAAGAAAACTTATATTAAAGTTTTTCTTCATTACCTACTTACTACGACACTCTCCTACCACTATTAGTTACTCTAACTTAGGTTCGTTCTATCTATACTAATTAATTAGTCTAATTTAGTATAGGTA